TGATTGATCGCCTGAGGCAAGGACTGACTCAGCCACAGGAGCACGGGAGACACGAAGACAAGGGTAAAGGCAGCCCTCAGCAGGGCATTTGACCCCCTCTACCCTGCACCATTCTTCCTTTCTTTCTCAGTGTTCTTACTTCAAGAATATAAGCCATCAGTGGCAACAACTGCCAAAACTTTCCCACTCCCAATCCAGGAGGGAGAAGTCTCTGAATGAACAATAGCAGTGCCTGCAAATTAAAACACAGGCAGAATGGTCAAGCAAGGCCAGGAGGAATTAAGGACTGCTCACATTGTTTTGTACATGAACGGCTGCACAGAAATGCTGGCTGCCTTTGTAACTTTGCTAGTAGCAAGTATCCGTAGATTGTAGAGCCCTATGCTGACACCAAAAGGCTCCCAGTGTGATAACACTCAATTCTTTTAATTATAATGCCTTTCCATATACAGCAACAATAGATGTGAAGCATACATTTTTTTTTATGATCTCAATATTGGCTATGGATAGGGAGAGATTTGCTTCTGCCTGGCAGGGACACTGGTGGACATTTGCCACAGATTTGAAACACAGTCTCTGTGTTCTCTGAAGAACACGAAGCAGTAAAATTACCACAGGAGGTCACTGTTGTAACATGTATGCCACATCTAAGTGAGTGCTGAGGACCAGCACTCCACTTTTGAACGGTGCATCCCAAGCCTGTTCCTGCTGGCAAACCAGAGCATTCAGCTAGAGCACAGAAGACCGCTATACCTATAATAGGACAGAGAACTATGTAACAGAACTATGAAAATAGCCATTGTATGTTGACAATGAAAGGAAACAATTTACTTTCTTGTCTGTAAATTCCTGTATCATTAATTATAATGGTTTATTGGTACACGGAAGGAAAGAAAAAAAAAAAAAAGAAAAAAAAAAAAAAAAAGAGGCAAATTGAAAAGATTTGTATGTTTAAACTTCATTTTCTACGTTTATGTTGGGCATTTTACCGGGGCATCAGCAATCATCGAACAAAAACATCTCTTTCCTCTGAGAGACTGAAGTCATGCTGTCACACTGCTTTTTGTTTGACAAGTGTATAGTAACTTCAATGGTTTGTTTCAGATGCTTCTCCTGTTGCCTTTGTATTAACATCAAGGGGTGATTAAGAAAGGCCTCTTTTCTGTTTTCTTCCAGCTGTAGAAGTCACAATCACAGACATCTTGAACGGTAAAAGGTATGTAATTTCTACTTTGTTTTTTCTGCCAAAAGAATTAGAGAGTTATTCATATGCTAATCAACATATTTCATCTCAGTAGAAGCCTTACAGAAAATTATAGTAGAAAGCTTTCATAGTCAAACTCTTCATTTACAATACATGAGTTCTGTTTGTTTGGTTTGTTTTTCCCTATGGTAACTTAAGCCATTAATGTATTTCCCTTCTTTATAGAATGCCTTTTGTACGGGAATGAAAGCATGTTAGTGTTCATTTCTACTTACTTTTCCCTATAAAAAAAATAAATAATTTATCAGATTGTTTTGAACAAGCATTTCTTTTTAGGAAACTAGTCTACGAAGTCATTGGGGTTTATGCCAGGAAGTGATTGCTCGCTTCTGAGTCAGTTACTGTGCACCAAGTTGTCTTCATACTGCTCATTGCGGAAGTGGAACAGTACAGCTTTACTGAACGTTACTGGGAGCATCATGGTTTGCTACCTCTGCAACAGTCCTTCTAGCTGTTTTTATACAACTTAACCATGAGAGGACTACCAGAAATACCTAGATTTTGGCTACATTTCTATCATCTGGAGTGGGTCTGATAATGTTGCAAGTTCCTTGTTCCAGCAGAAGCCATGAGGCAATTAGCATAAGAATCCTTGTGGTGTGAGACCTTGGCCAGACTTCGCTCTATATACATCCAATGTGAGTTGGCGAGACAGGAGGACAATTATCTACATTTTGAAGTGAGAAAATGCCATAGTGCCAAGGGGTAGGAAAAGCACACAATATTCATGCTGGCAGCCACCACTGTCCATGTGACAAAATAACATTATTGGGGTTTTCAAGTGCAATACTGTGGGCATAGCAGCATGAACAAGAGCACAAGAAAAATAAGGGAAAGTATTGCCTGGACAGCATGAGTGAAGGTTTACAAATCTCTGCATGTAAAGCAGTCTATTTATTTGCAAACAGAAGGTCATGTATCCAAGTTGTCTAATAAAAAAAAAGCTTATCTCCCACACTGTGTGCATTGGTGTAGAGACAGTTCAGCTGGACTGTCAGACACGTTGTCTTCTTAGAGGAGCCCTTCCTAAATTCTTTGGGACACTTCTGAAGTTTGTCCATGCTGCTTCCTAAAATGACAGTTTCCTGTCTCTTCTCTGTCACTCAGAAGTACATCCCATTCTCCCATCAAATCTAGTTTAAAGCTCTACTAATCAGCCTAGCGAGTTTGCTGCCCTATAAAGCTATAGCGGTTAGAAAGAAAAGCTGAGAAAGGAGATTGGAAAATGGGAGAAGCTCAGAGCACTGTGTCATAGAAATCAGATTTGGGCAGGGGATGTAACAAGTGTTTGTGGACAAGGGGCATAGCTTCTCTAAAGAAGCATCTAGCCAAAGGGAGATTGCTTACTTTCAACTTACAGGGACTGAAGGCAGGGCTGTGGGTGTGCCCATGTCACTGCACAGTACCTTGCATTCCCTAAATACTAAGCTGCCTGGTGATTTCCTCTCACACATGGCCACCCGCTCAAAGAATTCATCGAGCTGGGCACACTTGCACCTATGACACTCCTCTCAGCCCCTTGGAAAATTCCAGATTCCAGAGTTCCCTGCTATCAAAGGTGTGGGCTGCTATTCTGTTCTGCAGGATCTCTGCTCGGATGCACTCATCTGCCCAGAAAGTCTGTGGCCCCCCCAGTCTGTTGCAGCCCCAGCCCAGCCATTTCGGTAGGTGGTCACCTTGTTTCAGTGTGTTCACACCAGAGTCCCCTTCTCTGCTGAAAAAAGCACCTGCACCAGAGGTGACTGCCACAGACAATGACCACAGTGCATCACGAATTAGGGTTTTTGAAACTGATTGGGTTCTCAAGGAACATGCCACAGTTTGCCTGAATGTTTGTGTGGCTCAATTGCAGTTCTTGGCCTACAGCACAGTGTAAACAGTTTCAATGAAAATAAGCTCTGGCTTGTTTTCAAGAAAGGCAGGGGCTTTCCTGGCTTTTTCTCATCTTTGCAGTTTCGGAAGCATCTGTATGCCATTTTTTGCTGTAAAATGCTGAAGACATACAGCTGTCCTCAATCTTGAGTAGACTGAAAGAGTTGCTGACTTTTTCTTGTGAGTACTCCTTGTCCCTGAGTACTTTCCTGAAAATTGCTTTTCATCAGAATTCATAAGAGTAAACACATGCAAATGGTTGAAGGCAGTAGATTAGCAGTGGATTTATTGAACTACCATAATCAGTTCACTAATTCATAAGGTGATTTTTTCCTTAGTCACTTTCAGTCTTAACAGCACAGCTGTTGGAGAGGGTTTGGCTCACTTCATAGTTAGCTGCATGCTTATTTACCTGTGCCTCAGAGATATGGTGGAACAACAACAGGAAGACAAAAACTGAGACTGGTGTGGGTATGTTTCCTTCACAAGTTTTGAAAATTTTGGTTATCCTTTCACCCTGAACTAAAAGACAATTTTTATTTTATTACTTTTTTAAAACTTTTTTTTTTTACCACTCTTTACAGTTGACTCATCTTCTATTCCTGACAGATAAAGTTTCTTTTGGAAACCTGGTCCGCCTTTGTGAAAATATCACAAGGTCTGTGGAGATCAATAGCATGAGAAAAATAAGGGAAAATACTGCCAGGATAGCTTGTGAAGGGTTACAAAGATCTGAATGTAAAGTTGGCTGTGTACTTTTAGATGGAACCTCATGTATGCAAGTTAGTCTAATAAAAAATAAGTCTAAAATTCTCTTAGTTCTCAAGAACTTTGTCACGTCTTTGAATAATAAGCAACTGCCCAGTTCCCCTTGAAGATATATTCTATTCGCCACTTCAAAACTTAGGAAATGATCATAAATACAATTTTTCTTGAGATTGTCTCAAAGGAATGTAGAAATTTGGAAGACAAACCTTGCTTGAAGTTAATGTTTCCCAGATTTTTTGAGGGAGGTTGGGGGGAAGTTGAGTCAGCCCACATTGGAAGAGCTGAGCCGTCAGATAAGCCATCTCTCCAGGAAAAGACATTTATAAAATTTTTAATGGTAACCACTGCAGAGTTCTGAAATACTTGCAATGAATCATTCAGTGCTACATATTGGCCTCCTCTTCTCCCACTGAGTCATAACTCCTAATTCAGTAGGAGTAAGCATGGGCAAAATGAAACCATAAAAAGCCTTCTGCCTTCCTCTCATGTTTGGTCTACTGAATGTCAGAACTACTATAAGGGATTCTAGCAGGGATTGAATTTGACTGTAAGAAAAAAGCAACTATCTTCAACTTCAGTGGTAATTGTAGTTATGACAATATACAGGAAAGGTGGTCAGTATAGTACAGAGATAAATTTCAGGTGCCAATCTTCAAATTATAAATGAGAAAACATCTACTCAGAAGCTATCAGAACTTGGAACTATGTGAAATTCACTAGTAACCTCCCTGATAACTTGCAGGTTATATGCTACAACTGAAGTTCTACATCTGTTCAAATATCTCCTGTCCAATTTAGGCCACTGAAATGATCCAAAATAGCAGCAGAGACTCATGATGTGTCTACTTTTCCGTTAGACATAGGTATCAGTGTCCATCTCACTGTCATGAACCCAGCAGCTTGCAGTTTTATTAGAAATTCAGAGGGTTCATTTTGCCTATGGAAGTTTCATGACTACAGAGTGGAGGTATATTCTAATTACATATATGTATAAATATATGTATATAATTACCCAAATATAATGCCAAATTCCTGGAGCCAACAGGACAACAAGAATGGCCTTCTTTAGATCTGTAGAACAGTTTTATGTTAGGTAGCTCTCTGATCAACAATCCCAGGAACAGCAAATATAGGAGAAATCAGAATCCAAAAGTCTCACCACTGGGCAAATGGCTCAGGCTAGTAAAACCCAAGCATTCAGACGTGTGTTACCTTCTTGGTTTCAGAACCACTCTAGGTGAATGCTGTGATTCTGCTATGAGAAAAAGTACTCCGAAGTAATACTGGCAATTTTAGCAGTCCCTCTTGAGAAAAGAAAAGAGGATTATGAATCCTGTTCATAATTGTTGGACCTTTGCACTGTCTCAGGTGTCATGTGTTATTTATGGAGAAAGATACTATATTCACAATGCTATTACCTTGTCAACATGCTAGATTTGAGAATACTTAGTAAACTGACTAATTGTCCACATGCAGTATACAGCAATCATAAGTATATAACCCTGATAGTTTATATAGCCAGGATTTTTACTGTATCTAAATCCAAATTCCTAGAGCAGTAGTCTAATGTCTCAAGCACTATAGTCCATAGGCTGAGTATTCTTCAGGGTATGGAACCTATCATTTAGAGGCATTACAAGCTAAGTATACAGCACCTCTGAATTATCTTTAAATCATTCATGTACTCTGAAAAAAAAAATCCATAAAAACAAACAGACAACCCTGCAAGAAAAAAAAAAAAAAAAAAAAAAATCACACTGTTAGGTGTTCTACAATAGCATTCTGATATAAAAACAAGAGAACAAAATGATGCAAGTAAATTCTCTGTGATGACTCGCAATGTAGAGGTTTACAGAAATTCTTCAATCATATGGTTACACTAACTCAAAACAAAAATGTGTTATTTTTTATATGGACCTACAGGCTTAATTAAAAATAGTCTCTAATGTATCGGTGTTATTTTGATTTGTGGAGAGTAGCTAAGAAAATGGCTATGCTGAGTTGTTGAGTAGACATGTAAATCTTGTTGCCATTACTTAGTGCAATTCCTATCTTGACTTGAAGGAATAAGGATATATACGACAAAGTATGAAAGATTAGAGCTTATATTTTACGAATTTGCATCCATTGGTGGCATTGTAAAGGTGTTTTACAACAAACTGGAGTTCTATAAAAGGACCTCCTGTGCAAAGTGTTGGTCAGACTACATAGCTCGGTCAGCCTCATCTGTCAAGCATAAACGTGTTGAAACATGCATTATGGAATTTCTAGTTTTACAGATATTCAAAACACAACTGGACAAGGTCTTGAGCAACTTGAATTGATCCAACCCAAACGCTTGGGCGGAGGAGGAATAGACTGGAGCAGATGACATCCAGAAGTCCCTTCTACCACGTATTATTTTAAGAACTTCTCTCTGTCTTCTCTCCTGTCATCACCTGAGGGGACAGGACACTGTTGGGAGAGATATTGTACTCATGTAAGGGAGATCCTCAAGTCACAAGGCAGAAAATTAGAAATAATAGTGTCTTCACCTCTTATTTGGAAATGATATTTGGAAATTTGGAATGACACTGTGTATTGTGCTACACAGTGTAGCATACTGGAAAAAAAAAAAAAAAAGATTAACAGACTAGAAATCACTTGCTGTGAATGAAGAGGTAATAAATCATAACCAAATTATTACTGGCATTAGATATGTCTCATTTTTCGTTTGATTAATGGAATGTAATTAAATCAGGAATTACCAATTCTAATGGAAATCTGGCCAATAAAGAAGTTGAAATAATTTGGTGAATCCACTAGTAACATTAATGTAATAAGAGTATTTAATATTAACTAACAAGAAATACGGAATAAAGTCAATGTAAATATGTAATACTAAAAGAATGAAGAAAATGCTGAGATTATGAGCTGTAAATATAAGATTAATATACTAGTTGAATAATTTTGCTTCTGAATTATTTTAGAATTATGGTTTCTGTTCCTTTTGTTTGGGAACAGATCAGAGTAATTCTGGACAAGCCATTAGGTCTCTGTAAGTTATAATGTTTCTATTTAACAGCTCTTGAGTGTTAAGTCAGTGGTTTTTGTTTACACCAAAAAATAGTAGTAATTTCATTCAAAATATCCAATATCTCATTTGCAAATGAGATATCTGTCTGATATTTTTGAACACCTCAGAAAAAATCCCTAGAAGGTCTCTTTGGTTGTAGAAGCCTGGAATAGTCTTGCAGATTGATTTTGTCTATCCAAGACACTAACTGGTAGTCACAATCCTGCATTAGGTTGCCACTAGCAAGCTAATATGATGATAGAATCATTTCTTTCATGTACTCTGATTTACTGAGAATGAACTAACATGAGGCTTTTTTGTTTACTGTATAAAATCTTTCTGATAAATACTGCATGAAAGGACTTTTCCCTGGCAGTCCTAGTATCTCAGCTTTGTCTTTGGCATACATCTCATCACATGTTTATGGCTGCTCAGTACAGTAGGAGGCACATCGCTGGGACATTTCTGAGATAGGAGGATTCTAAGGATGTTCTCCTTGTTGACCATGCTGATAGAAAGGATGATTGTATTGCTCGGGAGGTCAATGCAGAACAGAAGAAATCATAACTAAGTTCTCAAGCACCTGGAGAAGGGAAATAATAACTGTAAGTACTACAGTGCTTCAAGAAGATTTTTTTTTACTTCTGTTATTCATGTTTTAATTTTCAGGTGGTATGAGTTCTGTTTTGTTGTTCCTGATGAATCCTCTTTTCCTCCACAACAGATAAAGCTGGGGAATTTGATGCAGAAGAAATCCACAACATTCTCCTGAAAATTTCTATTGGCCTAGAAAAATATTGCTATGATATGTATTTATTTTCTGTGATTCAGGAGCTCATGTGAGTCATCCATGATTTCAATTGCAGTCCCAAGAGCTCAGTCAATAAAGCATTTTGGCAGCATTTAGCATGCTCAGTCTTTTGAGTCCTACATGAGACAAAAAACAGTAAAAAGGAAAATGGCAATCGAGTGCTCTTGGACTGAATAAAAAGGCACAAATTTACATCTTTGATATCTTGAATTTTAATGATACTACTGAGAATACGATTCCTTTCACATTTGTAATTTTAAAGGAGAGCAGGTGGTGAAGGTTTCTCTTAAAAGTGTTAATTAAAATAGCTTACACAACCAAGCCCCTGCTCAAATAAAGTATATCAGAAAGACATAAGACATTCAGTGAATGCTGTATTCTAATGATTTAGTCTTAAGTAGACTCAGTCATTAGAATAGTGGAACACGTTTGAACAAATGCACTGGAGATACTTAATACCCAATACACATGCACATTTCATTCCAGTGAAACATCATCCGCTCGAGTTCACAAAACAAGCACTAGACTGTAGGTGTTCTAAATGCATATTTCTGGAAAGTAAAACAAGTCTGGATTCACTAGGAATATTTGTATCCCTGATGGCCTTAGTAAACAAATAAAAGAAATGGATCTTCAAAACACAGGGCTTCCTCACTCTGTAATATAGTCTGTTGGCAGGAAAGTGCAGGATCACCTCCATATTGATGTAATAAACTATAAGACCAATGATACACAACTCAGATTCATCCATTAATCCACTCATGCAACTCAGAAAAAAAAAAAAAAAAAAAAAAAAAAAACAACCAAAACTATGCCTCCACCTTCCAAAAAACAGTTTAGGGCTGGTTGCTATCAGTCTGCTACATTCAGCTGTTGGGAGCACTCAGCACGGTTAGAGAACACCCCATTTCAGATGCATTTTTCTTGATGAAGGATTGAATCTTAAATCCTCAGCAGCACATCATAGCCATCTAGATACTTCTTAATCATAGATGAAGTTGCTTGGTGGAGAAAGCACTAGAAGCCAGTAGTCTGTACATCCTTTCATCATTGGACCAGTTATAAATACAAGCCTTATCTCGTATTGCTCTCTGACTTCATTTTAACTGAGCAGTGAACAATGAAATGCAATTGAAAGAAAGACTACCAGGTGGCTACTTTTAGTTTTTGGTGCAATTTGATTAGTCTGATATCCATTTTACTTGAAGACCTCCCCACCTTTTGCTACAAACATATAAATGGTAGCAACTGAATGTTGTTTTTTCCTCTATATGATTTGAACAGATGTTACTGTTCTTAGTGTTCACCCTCCTGTAGCAAAGTTATAAATGATTAGTGCTGCTTTTTGTTTGAGTTTCAGTATCTTTTAGATGGTGTAACTATTGTTAAAACATAGTCTAGACATAGACATCAGTTTTTTGTTAGGTTTTTATAAAGAAGTACAAAACGGGAGCCTGATCTGTTCTAAAAACTTTCTCTGACAGATTTAACATCTAAATAATACATTTTTGCAATAAAATTAGGTGTGCACCAGGGACAGAATATTCTGTATATTAGAAACTGAGAATGAGGCTACTTATTCTCTGTCATTTCTTGCTCCAACCTTTCCTTCCCAAAAGACAATCCCTACTCTATCTTTCAGATTATAGGCAGGAATTTGACTACTACAATTTTAGCAACTCATAAGTTCTGAACAAAGGTTTCCCACCTGATGTTCTACTACCTACGAGTTCGCTCTGAGCAAATTGAGTATTGCTGGGAAAAAGTCTGAGATAGTGCCTCATGATTTGATATATATATATATATACTTTCTTTGTACTGTACACTGTGTGAAATCTGTATTTTTCCTTTTTCTATGGAACAGAACAACCTAAGAAAATGTCAATTCAGACCAGTGTAACTTCAGACCAACATTACTAGGAGAAAGTAATGTGTGTGCTCCAAAAAATAAAAAGGCAAGCAAGCACAAGTGCATTTCAGCTCCAAATCACCAGCAGTTAAATAGTTTCTACATTGTATACATAGAAAGTAATTGCCACTTTCCATTCAGATATGTTGGTTCTTTTAAAGAATAAATCCCTATAAATAACAGAAGAATATGCTCAAATGCAGACACCAACTTAAACCATATTTTAAGCACAGATTTGCAAATAAATTCTTTACGTAAGCATTGCTTCACTGAAAGTGATGTCCCTGTCCTTACCTGAACCTAAGAGCTTTTCCATTACATTTTCTCCTTCCATCCTCCCAAGGAGGTAGAGTGAGAGTGTGGTTTGATGGACACCTGGTGATCAGCTGAGGTTAACCCACTGCTTATTGCCGCACATCATGTTCCTCAAAATAGGTAACAACATAAAAAGCCAATCAGAGAATCGGAGGTTAGCTGGTTTAGATAGGTAGTCGAGCAGAGTCTCTTTCTAAAGACATCAGAAGAGTAGGCCATTACATCGGAAGAGAGAAAGAAAAAGATAATGCTGCCAAAAAAAGTAAATGAGTCTGAGCAGGCCATGAATCATTTGGGGCCAAATCTGCAACATAAGCCCCATCTAATTTAGTTAATATGTAAGTGACTACTTAGTGGGTACATCTTCTGCAGTCATGTATTGAGAAATGCCTTAGTTAACCAGAAGGAGAGGAGTAGGTGTAACATACAGAGTGTGAGAGAATCCTACTTTTAGTTACATAGGAAATACAGACTATGAACCCACCAAATGGGCTTATTTCTAGAATGAGATTGCTAGTGCTGACATTGTAAAGCAAGAAGTATAAAGCAAGAAGCAATGCATGATCATGAAGCAGGTCCTTCTTTTGTATTAGAAGACATGGTATAGGCAATTAAAATATTATTTTCTCATCTGTATTAATATCTTGCTATTTCTAAGTGATCTTTGCACTTTGTTAGCATGAATTGTCATCACACATCACACACACACACATCACACACACACATTTGGGGGGTTGGACACGATGATCCCTGGAGGTCCCTTCCAACCCCTACAATTCTGTGATTCTGTGATCAGTGTGTGAGCTGATGTCTTCATCAATGCTTTGTGATAAAATTATGTTGGGCTGTGCAGAATTTCAATATCACATTTTCTGATTAATTTCAGTTACAATAATATTGCATCACCAACATAAGGTATGTACTGTTTGATAGGACTTCTTTCTTTTCAATGGTAATTGTACCACAAAACATTTAAAGGACTTACACGGTAACAGTCCTCAAGGGGTTTTAAGGACTGATTGTTTTACTTCCTCTGATCTCAGAAAATCCTGTCCAAAATTAGCAATTATGCATACAACTCACACTTTTTCCACCCCTCACATACAGCATTAATTCAATACCATTACAGAAAATATGTGCTTTTGAAACTCATATCTTCAATGTGTAGAGCAATTAGAAAACTTGTATATTCCGGATGTTGATTACTTTCAGTAAGCCCCACAGTACTTGCTCACTGGGGTACTTTAACACATG